CCGATTCGATGGCGAGTGCCATTTTTGCCACAAGAGCGGACACATGTGGCACGACTGCTACAAACTCCCTGATGGTTGGACCCCTGCTCAAAGCCAGGAGGGTCGAGGAGCAGGAGGAGGGAGAGGAATAGGCCGTGGAGGCCGTGGCGGTCGCGGAAGTGGAGCTGCAAACATGCGGAAAGAAGATAATGAGATGGACCTGAGCGGCGATGGTTACCCGGGTCAATTCTACTTTGTGTCAACGCAAGCACCGGCTGGACCAGAGAAGGATGAAGGCTTTGAGAAGCCAGCAGCTGTGGGAAAGGTGACCCTACATCCCTTGGACTATTGGGTGATCGATAGTGGCGCTACCTACACCATGACACCTCGCGCGAACTTGCTCACCGAACTTGAACCATCACCGGTGAAGCATGTCACATCTGCTTTGGGGCAGCGAGCAGAGGTGAATGGGTATAGGGTGCTGATGGGAAGATGGTGGGCCTCAAGAACGTGCTTTGGGTGCCCAGCCTTGCGGCGAACCTGATTTCCGTGTGGTGATTGGCAAAGGCCGGCATGGACACGAGCTCAAAGGGTGCTAAGACCTATACCGGTAGGCTTGGCGAGTGGATTCTTTGGGACCTTCACGAGATGTGGCAGATCCCTGTGGTCTCCATGTCTAAGGAGAGGCAAGTGGCAGCAAGCATCAGCGCCAAGGGCGAAGCGGTTGGTAGTGGCGATGGTGTGAACGATCGCGCCAAGGAGAGCAAGCTCAATAAGAGCAAACCTGGAGTGACCAACAAGCTCGGTGATCCTAAAGAGAATGTTGCAGCAGCCTAGGAGCAGCACAAGGGTGAGGATAACCCCGAGGCAGCAGCGGAGGAGGACTACAGTGAGAGTATGTGGGGCACTATTGCGAGTGCGGCATTCTCTGCCTCTCTTCCTCTCGACGCCTCGTCTTCCTTCCCTTCAGCACGGGTTTGAGCCCAAGTCGCCTCGCTTTCCCTCGCTATAATCACACCTCCTGCTTGCGCTGCTTCCACAGACTCATGGGGCGCATCTGGTAAGGCATTCGTTTTAGTCGCATTCGGCCCAGTCACATCCCATGCCGCCACGTCAGATACTCTCACATTTGACGCTGTCACATTCGACGCTGTCACATTCTCCCGGGCAGCAGATCTCCCCTCAGTTGTGGAAACTCGGATAGAGTCAACTTCGGCTACGGGGGAGTGTGATTGGCTCACCTTGCATCGGAGAATGGGACATGTGGCTCTGCCCATCTTGCCGCAGCTAGTAAAGAATCAGATGGTTGCTGGCATACGTGTGAAGGGGGAGCTCGATGAGGTACTTGGCTGCCCGACATGCATGCAAGCCAAGTTCACTCGTTTCCGTTCTCGAGTTCGGAGGCAATGGCTAAGGCACCACTTGATGAGGTGGTGATGAACGTGGTGGGCCCCTTCAAGCTTGGAGCTGCTAGAGCATAGTATTTCCTCACCATAGTGGATGTCTACACCTGCATGACTTGGGTGTACGTACTGTCCAAGAAGAGCGGTGGAGAAACGGTGAAGATCGATTGGTTGCCGATGGTGGAGCGGCAACAAGACCGGCTAGTCAAGTCGGTCCCCACCGATCGAGGGGGAGAGTTCATGAGCAAGGAGTTTGGATTATGGCTGAAGAAGATTGGGATAAGGCACTCCCTTACCATGCCATACTCCCCTGCAATGAACGGTATCGCCGAGCGAGCGAACCGCACAATCACAGAGACGTCACGCGGGTTGCTCATAGGAGCCGGGCTACCCGACTATTTCTGGCCTGATGCGGTGGGGAGTGCGCGTGTGGCCAAGAGCAGAGCTTTGACTCATGTGGGAGTAGACAAATGGGTGCCCTATGTGGAGTGGATTGGAAGGAAGCCAAAGGTGGATATGCTTCGGGTGTTCGGGTGCTTGTGCATGGCGCTCGTACCTATGCATCTTTGGCACAAAAAGCTTGGTGCCAAGGCGAAATGGGCCGTGCACTTGGGCATGGCTCAAAACAACAAGGGGTGGTTTCTTTGGGACCCATTCACCAAGAAGTTCATGGTGAGCAGGGATTGCAAGTTCATGGAGAACCTGATGTACAAGAACTGGAAGGCGGAGAACAATGCAAAGATATGCATGCGGTTTGGGGAGGTGAAGAGTTCCGGCCTGGAGCACGTGGAGCTGAGCAGTGGTAGCAATACCACAAGGCAATCTTTCCTTGTGAATGGGGAAGATGAGGCCAAGGATGCAGAGAAACAAGAGGAGGAAGATGAGCTACAAGTGCTCCACGGATCCGAGTCATCCTGCAGCAACGCCAAGGCCTTCAAGTCCCTGCAGCTGAGGAGGAAGGAAGGGGCAAGAGGAGATTTCAAGCCTCTAATAGGCTGACCTATGATGCATCGGGAAAGCAAGGCAAGTCAGCCCTGGCCGGAGCGGCAATGATGGTCGGAGATGATGAGGAAAGCGACTACGAGGAGTGTGCCTTCATATTCTTCCCTCCGGTGGAGATGCCGGGGGAACCAACAACTCTCAAAGAGGCCTTGGAGAGTAGTGATGCTGAGGAGTGGAAGAAGGCCAGGGAGAGCGAGCTGAAGAGTATTGAGGAGAACGACACGTGGGAGTTGGTGGAGCTACCGGATGGGCGTAAGGCGATTGCGTCCAAGTGGCTCTTCAAGATCAAATCGGACGCCGACGGCAAGATCGAGCGCTACAAGTCTAGGCTTGTAGCCAAGGGGTACCAGCGAAAGGAGAAGGTGGACTTCAAGGGGCTGTTTGCTCCTGTGGTGAAGCCAACGACGCTGCGGACCCTACTCGCGGGAGCCGCCATCAAAGGATGGGTGGTGAAGCAGATAGACATTGTAACGGCATTCCTCAACGGCGTTCTAGAGAAAGAGATATTCATGGCGAAGCCAGAGCGGTTTGACGATGGTAGTGACAAAGTGTGGAAGCTGAAGAAGGCCCTCTATGGGCTGAACCAGGCCCCTAGGCAATGGTACATGAAGCTGCACGAAGTGTTGGAGGAGATCGGCTTCACTTCCTCAACGGCCGATCACTCCTTGTTCATGCTTGGCAAGGGGGAGCAGAGGAGCTTCATGGTGGTGTATGGAGATGACATCCTCATCTTCTCACCCTCCTCTGACCTTGTGAAGGAGGTGATGCTGAAACTTCAAGACATGTTCAAGTGCAAGTCCCTTGGTGACGTGAACTTCTACCTTGGGCTCCACATCAAGCATGACGTGGAGAAGCGGTGCATACGGGTGCACCAACGGAAGTAGCTAGAGGCCTTGGCTGCCAACTTTGGCCAGAGTGAAGGCCATGTGGCTACTCCCTTTCCTTTTGGGTTCAAGTGTGTGTAGGGACCAGATGAGGAGAGCGTTGGTGAAGATGAGAGGCGCCGTTTTCACTTGTTGGTGAGCAGCCTCATGTATGCGGCGGTAAACACTCGGCCGGACGTGGCCTTTGCTACCGGGCAGCTGGATAAGGTTGTGCAATGCCCTAATGAGGAGCAGGTAGCAGCTGGAATGAGGGTGGCCAAGTACCTTGGCCAAACACCGACCGTTGGGCTGCAATACTCGGCGGCGGCGCAAAGGCGCCAAAAACGCGCGGATGGTGCAGAACCTGAGCGTTTGTTCCTCACCGCATTCTCCGATGCCTCTTATGCATCGGAAACAGAGGACATGACAAGTGTGGGAGGCTTCATCTGCTGTGTTGGTGGAGGCCCAACTGCTTGGGAGAGCAAGAAGCAGGCTGATCAAGCATTGAGGTCGGTGGAGTCCGAGTACATGGCACTCTTCCGTGCCGTACGGGAGATTGTGTGGCAGCGTCATTTGTTGGCTGAATTGGGGGAGGAGCAGCAAGGACCTACCCCACTGTATTGTGACAGCCAGGTCCCATTGCTCTTGCTAAGAACCCTGTGTTGCACGGCCTCACCAAGCACATGAGGGTGAAGTGGCATTGGACGAGGAGCATGGTGGCCGCGGGTGAAGTTGAGTTGCGCTACGTGAAGACCACAGGGTAGCCGGCTGACATGATGACTAGGAGGCTGGTGGAGCAGCAGCATTGGAAGTATTGCAAGCTAGCTGGGATGGCTCTGAAGTGAGAGAGCAACATATCCTAAGGCCAACAATCCGAGGAGGAGTTTGTTGGTGCAACCCTACGGTTTGCACTCGGCTCGTTGTCCGTATGCGTGCATGCGTATGTGCATGGAATGGTATGAGGGCATGGGATAAAATATATATTTCATACTTATAATGTCAGAATGTTATAATTGTCTAGCCTGCAGTGGGGTACTCTATAGCGAGTACAACCCAATTAGGGTTTCCTATATGTATGCCAACTGCTGCTAGTGCAACCCCATCTCTCCTTCATTTTCGTTCTAAGTTTCACATGCTATTAGAGCATCTACGCTCCTGGCCTGTGGGCCCACCTAACTGCTTCCGCTGCTACTCTGTATGTTACACGCCCCGTGGCGTGCGACGGTCTTTTTTTTTCCTTCCCCTCCTAGAGGCCCCTCTCACGGCCCCTCGCGCCGCCCTTAGCGGCCCCGTCGCCACCCTTCTCGGCCCCTCGAGGCCCCTTCGGGGCCCCGTCGCCGCCCCTAGCGGCCCCGTTGCCGCCCTTCCAGGCCCCTCGCGGCCCCTTCGCGGCCCCGTCGCTGCCCCTAGCGGCTCGTCGCCGCCCTTCCAGGCCCCTCGCCGTCCCTAGCCGGCCCCGTCGCCGCCCCTATCGGCCCCGTCGCCGCCACCAGTGGCCCCGTCGCCGCCCCTAGTGGCCCCGTCGCCGCCCCTATCGGCCCCGTCGCCGCCTCCAGCGGCCCCGTCGCCGCCACTTGCTGCCCCGTCGCCGCCCCTTTCGGCCCTGCCTCGACTCTTTTCCCGTCGCCTGTCGAGGCGACCTGAGGGGCGACCTGGGGGGGGGCGAGCGTCGCCCCTTGTGCCGCCTGTTTTGGCGCCCAGGGAGGCCGCGCGTTGCCCCCCCCCCGGTAACCTCCCTACCCGCCGTCCCGCCCTACCCTGTTTTAGGGTCTGGGGGTGGCGAGTAGGGGGGGCGGGTAAGTGGTCTCCCCTCCTCCTCCTCCTCCTCCTCCTCCTCCTCCTCCTCCTCCTCCTCCTCCTCCTCCTCCTCCTCCTCCTCTGTCTCCTGCTGCAGCTGCCGCTCAAGGGGGTGGGTGTGTGGGAGTCGACGGAGTGGTGCTAGGGGGTGGGGTGTGAGTGAACCTAGGGTGCAGCAAGGGGTGTCTGATATGGGGGTGCTGTGGGAGTGGAACTAGGGTTTGAGCAGGGGGTGTGTGTCGAGGGGTGTGGGGCAGCTGGAGGAGGTTGTGTGAAGGTAGCTGTCATGTTGCCTGCAGCGCCTGTAGTCCATCGCCCTTGCTTCGGTAGCCAGTGAGCCTGTTGCACTAGTCGCCAGCAGGTCCGTTGCTCCTGCCGCTCGTCTATAGCCGCGGAGCCAGTTACTCCAGTAGTCCGTCGCCCTTGCTTCGGTAGTAACTGAGTCAGCGGCTCCTGTGCCCGTGCCTCTACAGCTTCAGTCGTTGCCTCCCATCTTTTCTCCCTCCACAGTTCCTCCTCCTCCTCACTTGCCCGCTGTGATTAACTCTAGCTTTGCTCGCTATTGTGAACTCCTGCTCTATGCCTGCTTGCTCATTGTGCTGATTACACCCCACTTTGGCTATAGGGGTGTGTCAGAATGTTATAATTGTCTAGCCTGCAGTGGGGTACACTATAGTGAGTACAACCCAATTAGGGTTTCCTATATGTATGCCAACTGCTGCTAGTGCAACCCCCTCTCTCCTCCATTCTCGTTCTAAGTTTCACATATAATAGTGTGGGAATGTTGAATCATGATGTCGAGTGTGTGTGTGTCGAGTCAATAGCGAGTTATCGCTAGTAGCGTGTCACCCGGTGATTTGTGTCCCGTGCGCGGTTTCTATTTTGTCGTGTGTCTCATGCATGGTTTCTATTTTGTCGTGTGTGTAGAACGTTCAGCGTTTCACAGGTGTGTGTAGCAGACCCATCAAGAACTCAAGGATGAGTTTGTGGTGAAGAACCAGAGCCTTGGTGTCAAGATTCAAGTGATCGCGAAGCCCGCGAAAAGGGTACACCTCAAGATATTGAACATTATTACATTACTTTGTGTAGTGTAACATTTTGTTTGGTGTAGGCCCTAGTGAAGGGTAGTTTCGAGACCCTTCGTGGTTGGGGACAGTGTGGCACCGTTCCACATCACTGTACCTTGGCTCTTTGGGTTTGTAGGAGCTGGGAGTCATTCTCAACTCGTAACTCTTCCTAATTTGTGTTCTAAGACTATAGTGGCTGCCATAGAGCCGTTCGTTCAAACCAACGCATTGTCGTTATTACTTGGTGAAATCGTGCGATCTAAATTGCCTATTGTAGGCGACGTTACGGCGCTCTAAATCTAAGTTGAGTCAGGTCATTTGAAGCTGTGACCAGAAAGATATAAAGCTATAAAGCCGCTCTGCAGAAAACCGACTGAGCACTCCATGTTTCGCTTTAGGCACATTGAAGCCTACTGTGACTAAAAGATTAATCCGGTTGGACCAACTAGCCTGTTGGTGCAATGGACAAGTTGGACCAGCTAGCATGTTGAAACACTAGACCGATTGGACAAACTGTTCTATTGGTCCAATGGATTGGCTAGACGAAGTGGCCTGTTTGTCCAATGGACAAGTTGGAACAACTGGCCTGTTGGTCCAATAGACCGGTTGGACCAACTGGCCTGTTGGTGCAGTAGACCGGTTGGACCAACTCGCCTGTTGGTCCAGTAGACCGGTTGGACTAACTGGCCTGTTGGTCCAGTAGACCGGTTGGACCAACTGGCTCGTTGGACTAGTGGACCGGTTGGACCAGCCGGCCTAGTGGTGTAGTGGACAGGATGGACCAACTAGCCTACTGGTCCAGTGAACCGGTTGGATCAACTAGCCTGATGGTATAGTAAATCAGTTGGACCAACTGGCCTCTTGCTCCACTGGGCTAGTTAGACCAACTCGTATGTTGGTCCAGTAAATTAGTTTGACTAGCTGACCTGTTGGTCTAGTTGACCGGTAGGAACAACTGGATTGTTGGTTCTGTGGACCGGTTGGACCAATTGGCCTGCTGGCCCAATCGAGAGGTTGGACCAACTAGCCTGTTGGTCCACTGGACAAGTAGGACCAACTGGCCTGTTGGTCAAGTCGACAGGTTGGACCAACAGGTCTGTTGGTCCAATGGACAGGTTGGACCAACGGGCCTGTTGGTCCAATGGACCGGTTGGACCAACTGACCTGTTGGTCCAATAAACCGGTTGGACCAACCGGCCTGTTGGTCTAGTGGACCAGTTGGACCAACCGGCTTGTTGGTGCAGTGGACAGGATGGACCAACCGGCTTGTTGGTCCGATGGAAAGTTTGGACCTGTTGGTGTAAGGGCCTAATAAACTCAAGCTATTAAGACTTTATCACACTTTAAAACCTCTCCTCGGGGTCACCTCCAAGGGTCCTTGGGTGCCTAGTACAAGACCAGCCCCTATCCTCGGGTCCGAGTTTGTAGAGAGAGGGATCAAGAGGGACTTAGTCAAAACAGCAAGAGTACCTTGAACGTCGCGCAGCGTATCGTGCGGACCGTTGATCGGATTAAGCTGAGAATTTCCTATATCGAAGCTCACTCTAAGAGCTTTAAAACAAGCCAAGTTGCCTCGCGAAAAGTTCTGCCATTACGAAGTTATGGCTCGGACAGCGTTAGCCTAGCGTTGGAGTGCTAACGTACTAGCGTTGACTCGGGTAGCATTCCGCCGTCGCACCGCGTAGAAACAAAATTCCAGCAAGGAAGGAGTTCGCTTGAATCAATTTCACTATATTCAGGTACAAACGGAGAAGGAATAAATAGCTCTAGCTAGCAAGGACCTTGGGAATCAACCTGGGAACAACCAGGGATGATCCCAAATGATTCCAAGCAACAGAACCAACCTGGCTGGACAAAATAGCAGGTGGTAGGTTGGTGAACAACCTCTGGTTCTGTTTTTCCAACCTGGGAAAACAACAACCAGGTTCAGGTCCTAAAAACAGAACCTGTTTTGTCTTTGCCCAACCAGCCAAATGCTGGTTCCGCTGGTTTCCCTTGGCCCTGTAGCATGCAGATACAGACAAACAACATCCAACCTTCACCTAAATTGTACCCCTATAGTGCCTGCCCTGCTACACTATAGTGAACCAAACAAAACAGTACAATTTCGAGTTGGATAGAACTGAATCTGCGCAATCAAGTAAGTTGAACCACAAAGCTTCCATCTTGGGTTCCTTTGCGAGCTCGTCCTTTCTGCTTGTACTGTTCATAGCGCGTACAATGTGATGCCGAAGCACACATTGTGCGAGTATCTGCAAATTTTTCAAGCGAAAATTGCGAAAGCAAACAAACACACGAACATACCATTCACACGCAAATGCATTCGCACACGCATACTCATACAAACAGACGGAAGGATGTCGTGCAATGTGAATTTGCACCCAACAGGACCAACTGGCCAGTTGGTCCAGTAAATTGGTAAAACCAATTGGTCTGTTGGTCTAGTAAACCCATGGGACCAACGTGCGTGTTGGTCAAGTGGACCGGTTAGATCAACTAACATGTTGGTCCTATGGACCAGTTGGACCAACAGGCATGCTGGTCAAGTGAACCGGTTGACTAACTAACCTGTTGGTCTGGTGGACCGGTAGAATAAACAAAATTGTTGGTCATGTGGACTGGTTAGACCAATTGGCCAATTGGTCCAATGGAGAGGTTGGACCAATCAGACTGTTGGTCCACTGGACAAGTAGGACCAAGTGGAACGTTGGTTCAATAGATCGGTTGTTCCAACTCGCCTGTTGGTCCACTGGACCGGTTGGACCAACTTATATGTTGATCTAGTGGACTTGTTGTACTAATCAGTATGTTGGTCCACCGGACAGGTTGTACCAACTGGCATGTTGGTCTACTGGACCGATTGAACCAACCAGCCTGTTGGTCAAATGAATTAGTTGGACCAACCGGCCTGTTGGACCAATGGACAGGTTGGACCAACCGGCCTATTGTTCCTATGGACTAGTTGGACCAACAAGCCTGTTGGTCCAATGGTCCGGTAGGACAAACTAGACTGTTGGTCAAGCGAACCGGTTGGACCAAGTCGCATGTTGGTCCAATGGACCTGTTGGACCAACTGGCCTGTTGGTCCAGTGGATCAGTTTGACCAACTGGCCGAATGGTTCAGTAGACTGGTTGGACCAACTGGGCTGTTGGTCCAATGGATCGGTTGTACCAACTAGGCCTGTTGGTCCACTGAACAGGCTGGACAAACTGGCCTGTTGGTCCAATGAACTGGATGGACTAAGTGGCCTATTCTTCCAATGGACAGGTTGGACCAGCTATCTTGTTGGTCCAGTGGACCGGTTGGACCAACAAGCCTGTTGGTCTAGTGGACCGGTTGGACCAACTGGCCCATTGGTCCAATGGACAGGTTGGACCAACTGGTCTGTTGGTCTAGTGGACCAGCTGGACCAAATAGCTTGTTGGTCTAGTGGACTGGTTCGACCAACTAACCTGTTGGTCCAATGGACCTGTTGGAACAACTCGCTTGTTGGTCTAGTGGATCAGTTGGACTAGCCGACCTGTTGGTCCACTAGACCTGTTGTACCAACCGGCCTGTTGGTCCAATGATCCGGTTGGAACAACTGGCCTGTTGGTCTAAAGAACTGGTTAGACCAACTGGCCTGATAGTTTTGTGTGATGGTGGTCCAGTGGACCGATTGGACCAACTGGCATAATGGTCAAGTGAACCGGTTGGACCAACCAGCCTGTTGGTCCAGTGGACCGGTTTGACTAACTGACGTGGTTGTCCAGTGGACTGGTCGGACCCATTGGCCGGTTGGTCCAATGGACCGGTTGGACCAACTGATATGTTGGTCCAATGGACCGGTTGGACCAGCTGACTTGTTGGTCAAATGGACTAGTTATACCAATCGGTCTGTTGGTCCACTAGACCAGTTGTGCCAACCAGACTGTTGGTCTAGTGGACCTGATGGACAACCGGCCGTGGTCCAATAAACCGGTTGGACCAACCGGTTAGACCAACTGGCCTGTTGGTCGAGAAAACCGGTTGTGCCAACTGGTCTGTTGGTCCACTGGACCGGTTGGATTAACTGGCATGCTAGTCCAATAGATTGGTTGGATCAACTGGCCTCTTGGTCCAGTGGACCAGTTGGACCAATTGGCACGTTGGTCCAGTGGACCGGTTGGACCAATTGGCCTGTTGGTCCAATGGACCGTTTAATCAAATAGCTTTTGGTCCAATGGACCGGTTGGACGAACAGACCTGTTCGTCGGATTGACAGGTTGGACCAACCGGCCTGCTGGTCCGTTGGACCGGTTGGACCAACCGGCATGTTGGTCCAATGGACCGGCTGGACCAGCTGGCCTGTTGGTCCAGTGGACTAGATGGAGGGTCTGTTGGTCCACTAGACCACTTGGACCAACTAAAGTATTGGTCCAATGGACCGGTTGGACAAGATGACCCGATTTTCCAATGGACTGGTTGGACCAATTGGCCTGTTGGTCCAATGGATCGGTTGGAACAACTGGCTTGTTGGTTTAATGGATCGGTTGGACCAACTGGCCTATTGGTCCAGTGGATCGATTGGACCTACCGGCCTGTTGGTCCAGTGGACCGGATGGACCAACCGGCCTGTTGGTCGAATGGACAGGTTGGACGAACCGGCCTGTTGGTCGAGTGGACCGGTTGGACCAACTATCTTGTTGGTCCAATGTTCCGGTTGGACCAACTAGATTGTTGGTCTAGTGGACCGGTTGAACCAACTCGCATTTTGGTCCAATCGACCTGTTGGTCCAACAGGCATATTGGTCCACTCGAAGTGTTAGACAAATTGGTCTGTTGGTCGAATGGACTGGTTGGACTAACTGGCCTATTGATCCAATGGACAGGTTGGACCAGCTGGCCTGTTGGTCCAGTGAACCGCCTAGATCAGTTTGTTGGTCCAATGGACCGGTTGGACAAATAGGCCTGTTGATCTAGTGGACCAGTTGGAGAGTCTGTTGGTCCATTAGACTGGTTGGACCAACTGGCGTGTTTGTCCAATGGACCGGTAGGACCAACCGGCCTG